TCCCCAATCACCCACCATACTCACCAACAGAACGATCAGCGTCTCCTCCACAGTGCAGGTGGTCCCCTCTCGTGATCTTGGCTGGAGTTTCAGGAAAGCTTCTCCTTCCATTCCTGTGGGGGGCCCATGGACTTGCCCCAGCCTCGTGTTGCTGTTGTTGTATAGCGTCAAGTGGATGGTCATCTTCCACTTCCCCTTCTGAAGGGGGAACCCCGGTCAATGTGAGGTCTTCTTTTTCACATTGGCTCTTGTGAAGCACACAAAAGGGAGGTGCGTATGGTTCATGGCCAGTAGGTAGCCTTCTACTCATTTGCTTAGGTCTGGAATTGGTCCTTAAGATTTGATTAATTGGTGTTTCTCCTTATATTAGTGGACTCATATAATACTTGTCCTTTTGTGATTGACTTCTTTCACTCAGCATAATGGTTTCCTGGTTCTTCCATGCATTGCAGTGTTTGATGCTTTTGTCGCTGTTTTTTTAGGGATGCTTATAGTAGTCCATTGTGTGTATGGACCACTGTTTCTTTATCCATTCTTCCACTGTTGGGTATCTGGGCTGCTTCCAGTTTCTCTGGACACGGGAGAGCACACCTCCACTTGTGGTTGTGTCGTATTTCTTTAGGGTTTATGCCTAAGAGTGGAACTGCTGGATCATATGGGATTTCCATTTCCAGTTGCTTTAAGTATCGCCATTCATTTTCCCCAGTGGCTGTATGTATTTATAAGTCCACTAGCAGTGACTGCCAGTTCCAATCTCTCCACAGCCTGACCAGCATTTGTTGTTTTCTGTTTTTGGTTCTAATCTATTTGTGTCAACCAGGGACTTTTAAAGAACTTTTAACTGGGATTAATATTAATAAAATAGGGGAAAGGTCGTTTCGGTTCAGTGGATTTTTCTTTAATAAGGCATGCGTGGCAGTTCAATTTTATGTCAACTTGAATATGTACGAAAGTGTAGGGGTGAAATCCGGCCTGTTAATTAGGTCTCAGCCTGAAGATGCCTTCCAGGGGGTGTGGCCTTCTTGTTGGGAAGAAACCTGGAATCTCTGCCTCCCTCTACCTTCCTGCTTGCTGGGACTCTGTCTGCCTCTAGGAGTGGCCTCCTGTGGGCAGCCTAACTCTGATTGCTGCCTGCACCCTGCTGTGTTTCGACTAAGTTTGGATCCATGCAAATCTTCACCCACCCACCTCAGGCCTTCCTGCCTCCTGCTTCACCTTTCTGTAGCATACAGCTGCAGCTACCTGTGTCTGAAGCAGCAATTCTCAACCTGTGGGTCGTGACCCCTTTGGGGGTCAGACGACCCTTTCACAGAGGTCACCTAAGACCATCGGGATACACATATTTCCGATGGTCTTAGGAACTGAGACACCACTCCTCTATCCGTATCCAGGCAGGTCCGCCCACATAAGAGTCCCCGGCGTGAAGACCGTTACCCATACAACACCATGCTTCAAGACAAAATTTCATTTATTTGTCATTAGAAATAAATATTTCACAATATAATTACATATTGTTTTATGTAATTATATTTTAATCTGAAAGCAGATTAATCATGCTCCTTTCATTATGTTCAAGTTTTACCAGTGAAAATACATCTTGCATAACAGATATTTACATTATGATTCATAACAGTAGGAAAATGACAGTTATGAAGTAGCAACGAAAATCATTTTATGGTTGCGGGGGTCACCACCACATGAGGAACTGTATCATAGGGTCTTGGTATTAGGAAGGGTGAGAACCACTGGTCTAATGATTCTCATCAGGTTTGCATCAAACTTAAGGAACTAAGTTGTAGTGGGTTGGGGAAACCTCTTGATATAAACCTCTTTTTTAGAGATAAATGAGTGTCTTGTTTCTCTAGATAACCTGGGAAAACACAGCAGCTAATACAATATATAGATTTCCTAAGCCTCTCCCTGCTATTCGTTTTCATCTGCCTGTTTTCATGCGAACATTTACCTAACAGATCCATAAAGTCCCCCCTCCACCTTTCTTCACTCTTCCATTATATCTGTGATTCCTGTAAGCGTCCTCATAATCACATTTTGTCCTACTGGACTCTGAACTGCTTTCCGTAATTCATTTTTCATAAGCGCTAAACGTTAACCAGAAGCTTCCGGATAAAAAGGCAAGACGTTGCCGCACACTGCTACTGTGACAGAGGCTTCTCGCCGACCCAGGGGTGACCATGACCTGCTGTGAAGGGTGGACGTCCTGCAATGGGTTCAGCCTGCTGTTTCTGCTGCTGTTTGGAGTCATTCTCAATGCAGTGCCTCTGGTTATCAGCACGCTGGAGGGGAACAAAGCCTTGGAAAACCCCATCTCTTGCTTTGAGTGGTGGTTCCCAGGAATTATAGGAGCAGGCTTGATGGTGAGTAATATTCTTTGGCCAGATTTGGAGAAGGGGCGGCCCTATTTTACCAAACGAATTCTGGAAGACCGTCTTTCAGTCTTGTCGTTAGCTCCAAGGTGAAGCGGAATGATAGGATATTGATTGATTGATTGATACTTATGGAGATCCCTTTATTAAGTCTTAGATGGGACAAAGAAGGGCAAAGGCCATTCTTGCAGATGATGGAGGCAACCAACAGGAGGTCCTAATGGTGGCCAAAGACTCACAGCCCCGTGGCTAGTTAAATAGAATGTGGAAATCAAGTACTCTGGCATTAATTTATACTGGTAATCAGGGAAGAGTGGTAAACTCCCTAAACAGACTAGGTAGTTTGGAGGGAAATTGATTGAATTGTTACCTATCACAGTTCTGCATACTTTGGCCTGTGCTTCAACCTGTCTGCGGCCAGTGCCGGTTTCTAGATCTTTACAGGGAAGGCCATGGGGATGGGAAGAAACATGGCCAGGCATGAAGAACCTCCTGGCCGAGCACCCTTGTGGATGTCAAAGTGGCAGGGCCTGCATCCAAAGGGGCTGGGTCTAAGAAATTTGGAACTTGATGCCCTAGCTCTCAGATCTCCTGGACTTTGGATTCAGATCTTTGACTCAGAAGACTAGGACATTCATTTAATAGTTTGATGACCATGCATAGGTTGGCCTTTGTTGAGATCCACAGGTAATACAGAATTCATACAGTTAATTATTTTATAAAGAAGCCCCCAGGATAACTGCTCATGAATCACCTGAGATACTTCCAATAGGTCCCCAGGCCTTCTGCTGCAGAAGACTTGGCTTAGACCTACTTGTGTGGTGTGTTGGGACCTGGCGGGACCCCTCAGCCCCAGTTCTATCTGGCATTGTGTTCCTTTCAGCAAATCATTAACCTGCGTTTCTACTTCCACAGGTGTAAAATCAGGAGCTTTTGTTTGTTCTGCCTGTTAGCGCTCCCTCAGGGGTCTGGTGACAGCACAGAAATGAGTGTGTGTGAGTGTGCGTGTGTATGAAAATATCACAGTGCTGATTACCTCAGCGTTCCGGGGATGATGACCATGGCGGGGTGACTTTTAAAGAATTTCAGGACACAGTTTTCTTCCTGAATCACTAATCCACAATAACCAGTTATTAGGATGGGTCTCATCTCCAGAATTGTAACTGCGACAGGGTTTCAGAGAGTTCATAGGAAAAAAGGAATGAAAAGAGAAAGGAGTTTTCCCATGAACTTTCTGGAGCCCCCTTCATACATACTCCTAGGTTACCACGTATTCAACTTCAGATCTTTTTAAAAACAGTGTCCTCAGGCTGGGCCTCTGAACTTGAGACTGTTTTGACATCCAAAACGCCGTTCGAGGGACCATTCCCCAAAGGTTGCTGGTTGTTTATTTGTTTTTTCACTAAGACGGAGAGCAGTCTACCCCACCCCTGCTTTGGGTAGAAAGGAGTTATGGACTGGGCAGTTCGAACCCACCAGCTGCTCCTGGGGAGAAAGAGGCTTTCTTTTCTTTAAAAAAAAAATTTTTTTTAATTGTTTTATGAGGGGCAAGGCTTTCTACTCATGTAAAGATTCACAGCTTCAGAAACCCACAGGGACAGTTCTACTCTCTCCTACAGGGTGGCTATGAGTCAGAATTGACTCAATGATGGTGAGTTTAATTGAGTCTCTTTCAGGTGGGGGCCATTTGAAGGAGCTACTTAAAGGGAAAGCTTTGGAAAGCTCTGGGTTGCCTCTTCAAACTATCCTGAGCGTTTCTCTTCCAGGAATGTCATAGCGAGCCTCTCCCTTAGTGGAGACTGCTCTCCACTGGAGTCCTGACCAAAGGATCTGTCTCTGGTCAGGCCAGCAGTAGGGAGCAGCTGGTTAAATGTAATTTTGTGATAGAATTTCCCTGCTGTGCCTAAAGGTTCCAAATTCAAACAATCCACTCAGCACAACCCAGATTGCTTTAGGTAGAAATTTGCTTAGCCACAAAGCCTTCCTGCCAGGCTCAGCCTGTGAGGCATCATCGGAACCTGAGAGGATGGCACACACACACACACACACACACACACACACACACACACACACACACGCTCCTTGTATCTGTCTTTTGGGAAGGTGGGGAAAAGACCAGAAAGACACAGAGAGAGGGCAGAAACCTCTGTCTACTGCTCTGGTCCAGCCAGCGGGTCCCTGGTTAGCGCATTCGTCTCTAACCATCTGCCTGAGCAGGTACCATCACTTGCACTTTATAGACTCACGAACAGATGTGTGTTAACATCACACAACAGAAGTGAAATCGAACTCCTGGTTTACCTGGCTCCCAGGTTCTGTTTTCTGCCTGTATCAGAGCCATCACCCTCCTGCTTCAGGCTCGCCGCAGAGATGGGTACAAGCCACACATTCCAGGGAGCCGGTTCCTGAAGCTTACAAAAGTTCAAGAAGGCCACGGCCAAGTTTCGTGGGGAATCAGAACTTCCTTGTTCCGGGACCGTTTACTTTATTACTTTCCGTCAGTAGTAATGAAAGGCTCAATCCCAGGCTATCTTTATTACCCACGCTAAGTCCTGCTGTGAGAATGGCCAAGCTCGTCGGCAAAGTCCAACCAACAGGCAGCTTGTAGAGTGAGCACCACGTGCTGTGGGCAGAAGGGCTCAAATACACGTGGGCTTTCATGGTCTTCCACTGCTTGTGGATGGAAGGAACAGCGTCTTTTCCCCAAAAGGAAGTGTGCCTTTTCTCCACAACCCTCAGAAAGCTGACGCAGAAACACTACTAGGTAAGAAGCGATTACCACCTGTAATAAGTACTTTGGTGCTAACTCTTGAAGTCTTTCCAACATGTCTTCAGTGGTTTAAAGCCCCACCCACTGCCATCGAGTCAGTGAGATGCAAACTAAAAAACCAAACTCACCATCATCAAGTCCATGCTGACTCAGGGGCCCTATAGGGCAGAGAACTGCATCTGTGGGGTTCGGAGCCTGTCACTCTACACAGGAGTAGAAAGCCTCATCTTTCTCCCGCAGAGCTGCTGGTGGTTTCAAATGGCAGACCTAGTGGCCCATGCCACGTGACCCTTTGGATTGGAGCTGACAATCTCATCTCTCTTTCTCGGAGCAGACTGTGGGTTTGAACCATGAACCTTGTGGTTAGCACCCACTGTGACACATAGGCTAAATTACTACACTTGATTTAGCCAAAAGGCTGAGAAGTGATACACAGGCTAAGCGCTGCTCAGAAAATAAGGGCTTTCTCAGGAAGACAAGTCATGGACTTCATTATTAATACCTTCAGGAAATGCACCCATTTTATGGTTTTATGATACACTTCAAACAAAGGCGAGTCTTTAGATCCCCTGAAAGCCATAACTAACCACAATAAAACTGTTGTTTTTAACCTGCTGGACTGCTGAATGGAAAAATCAATATCCATGCCATCATTCCAGCATGCACTGATAAATGGAAAAATCAATGCTCACGTTGCATTTCCAAGAAAAAAAAAAAAGTGAAAGAGCTTTCTTTTTTGGGGGGTGGGGGGTGGGGGGAGTGAGCAGAAAAGTTAGCTGAAGTTAATTGTACTTCTGATTCAAATCATGCATCTCCTCTGATTTTACTTGTTTCATGCTAGTTCATCACCATTACTAAAGCCTTAACAGAGAACAAATTGTACAAAGCTAATCCAATGAGAAGACATTAGATGTAAGAGGCATTTGCACAATAGAACTGTTTTATTTATCACCGCTTGGGGTACTTTCATGGTGAAGTGTCCAGGGGGCTCTTCAATCCCAAACCCAAGTCAACATCCTGCTGTCAAGGTAATCTGATCTCAGGGGATCTCCCCCAAATATCCAAACTTACTGTCATCCAAGTTGATGCCAACTCACAGTAACCTCGTAAGACAGGGTAGAACTGCCTCTGCGAGTCTCTGAGGCCCTAACTCTGGAACCCCATCTTCCTCCCGTGGAGCAGCTGGTAGTTTTGAACCGCCAATCTGGCAGATTGCAGCTCCACTTAGAGCCAGGATGCCACCAGGGACCCTCCAGGACAAGTAAAGTGTGTGTGTGTGTGTGTGTGTGTGTGTGTGTGTATGTCTGTTTGTCTGTTGAGGCTGTAAGTCATCACAGGAAGGGATTCTCCAGGGACCCTCAAGGACAAGTAAAGTGTGTGTGTGTGTGTGTGTGTGTGTGTGTGTGTGTGTGTGTGTGTCTGTTGAGGCTGTAAGTCATCACAGGAAGGGATTCTCCCCAGGAGAAACTGTTGGGTCGAACTGCTGATCTCTTTGTTAGCAGCCCCACCTGTGCCACTGGGACTCCAGGGGGCTCCCGAAAGCTTGAATTCTCCCCTGAGAGTTTTATTTTTATTTTT